TGCGGTTGACTTATGACTTACAAACTAAAGCACTCACATAGGAGTTTTGACAGATTTAATATTTGCAAGTCATAAAGCGTTTCTTGTATAGTGAAAACAATATTAAAATGTGTGCCTTTTTAATGCAACACGTTTTCCCCAATTCATATTTCTTGACAGAACACTGTAGGAGAACTTTGATGATATTACGACACTCTCAAAATAATAATGATTTTGTTTCATATAGCGCTATTTTGGACAAACATGTTATTATTCTTTCATTTCAAACCGGGTGGGTATAAACTACTACTCCAGCCACAGCTGCCCTGGGGCATACTTAGGGCACGGTCACATAGGTTTTTACAAACGAAATAGGGCAAGTGGCCCAGATTGTCGCCACAGCGTGCTTGTTATCGCAAACGTGCCAGAGAAACTGTCCTGTAGTACAACGCTCCGTCCAGCTGGTGGCGCCAATACTAACTTCAGCGACGGCCGCGTTGTCCAAGTTAAGTTTCCGTTTCTCTTCCTGTTTACATTCTGCTACTGTAGCTAACAACTCGAGCACGGATCGCGTTGTTTGTTGCAGAGCAATGTGTACAAGTGAGGGCACGGTCACATAGGTTTTTACAAACGTACTAGGCCAAGTGGCCCGGATCGTCGCCACAGGGGTGTGAAAACGGCCCGCGGTCACATGAACGTATTGTCTGAACCGTGCCAGGGAAATTGTGCTGTAGTACAACACTCGGTCCAGCTGGTGGCGCTAATACTAACACCAGAGACTACCTCGTTGCCCTAGTTAAGATCCGCTTCTTTTCCTGTTTTCCTGTTTAGTTAACAGCTAACAGCTACAGCTACAGTAGCTAACAGCTCAGTACGGATCGCGTTGTTTAGGGAAAGATACATCTCAGTTGTCCAAATTGCTCTGATGCAAAGTGCAGCAGTTCAGTGGGTAACGTGTGGTAACATGAATGCACACGTGTGTGTGTGTGTGTGTGTGTGTTTGTGTGTATGTGTGCGCGCCCCGCGGACACGTGCGCACACACACATACTCTTTAGCAACGAGCGTAAGAGCGCTGAAAAATGAATGAATGAGAACGAAGGAATGAAAAGTGCGGCGTATGAGCATAGCGACCGCAGACAGGGAGGTTACAACTGTGTGTGTTTGTGTTCTGGTGATTAAATAAAGACTGATTCTTGAATGTTTGAAGTGTTATTGCAATAGCACCACACTGAGAGCGAGGGTCAGGACAGAAGAGAGCTATACCCGTAGGAAAGGCTTTTCTTTGGCCCTGCAGAGACACACTCCCCAGCGCCCCTCAAGCACGGTCCGGGGCTTATATGAAAGGTTTGACACAAGCGGAGAAAACAAAAGTGCAGGAGAAACGTGTGAAAATGCGTGTCACAGGAAAACGTAATGTGACGCACAATATCAAGTCCTCCTCGCACCTAATTCCCCACCCCCCGCCACACTGACCCCCCTCATCTACGCAGGGAAGCGGGCCCTGGCCGCAGTTTTTAACCGGGCCAGAGCACAAGTCCAGGAATTGTGCTCTGGCGCGAATGCCGCGGTCAGATGGCACCTAAAGCCCGGATCTAATCGCGAAGCGGGCCCTGGCACACTTTAACCCGGCTTTAGGCTGCGCATGTGACCGCAGCCTGAGATGTCTTTCCTCAAAGTGCGGTGGCTCAGATCAACACGTGTGTGTCTGTGTGTGTCTGCGTGTGCGCGAACACGGGAGCACGCTTTGGAGTAACGAGCGAGAAACGAGAAATGAAAAAGAGAATGAAAGAATGAAAAGTGTGGCATACGAGCAGAGTGACCGGAGCCAGGCAGGATACAAGTGAATGTTGGTGTGTTCTGGCGATTAAATAAAGTCTGATTCTTGAATGTCTGAAGTGTTATTGCAATAGAACCACACTGTGAGAGCGAGGGTCAGGAGTTATTCCCGGTAGGAAACGCTTCCCTTAGGCTCTGGAGCGACACACTCCCCAGCGCCCCTTGACCACGGTCTGGGGGCTTTTATGAAAGGTTTAACACAAGCAGAGAATACAAAAGTAAGCGACTGCTGTAGAGACAAAATGCACATAACGGGGGCAGCAGGAAGACGTAGAGTGACGCACAATATCACGTCCCCACCCCACTTCATCCCCCTACTCCCCACATGGTGTGCCGTGAGAATTTCGCCAACCTTGTCTAAAAATAACTGCATTCACTATTGGCAACGCTGACTTGTCTTAAACTATGGCGTAACCACGTAATACTTTTTCATATCAGTAGGTGGCAGCAGATAGCCAAGTACTTTTAAATTTAAGAATTGGATGCAACCACCAAATGTAACAAGCAGCGGGGAGCATTGTGGCGAGAAATGTAAGAATTGGACGCGACCAACCAATGTAAGGGCAGCGGGGAGAATTTTGGCGAGTGAGAAGTGTAAGTTATTGAGACGTTTTTGAAAAAGAATTATGCCATTTCTGAACAGGATTCACATCCTCCGCTCTGACCCAGGGGTAGCTGTGGCCCGTTTTGTACTGACAGCCGCTTTGACAACAGTTCAGTGAACGCACATCCGTAACATGGTGCCGCACGCGGACCCTAGTCGCGTGGACAGAACCATAGAGTTGCGGACAGAACCATCTGCGCGGTCCTTGACTCTCCGAGTCTCTCCTGTGTCTCTTGCCGAAGAGCAAAACTCTAAATTTTCCCCATGCCTTAAACATGCATGTTATTTGTGCAAAAAGGTAAAATATTGTGAACAAATCAAACAGAACACACAGCAGGGCATTTTTTTAATCATTATTTTTCACACATAGGAGCCCTCTGAGTCCTTATTTGACTTTTTGGGCTGAGAGGGGATTTGTTTATGTTTTTTTTTTTTTTCTTGTTAACTCATTGTATTGAGAAATATTAAACCAAGCTTAATGTCAAGGCCTGGATTTAAGCAATTTGATAATAATGACTTTATATTGTAAATATAGGCTACAGAGAATATATTTTAAAATTTTCTCCCGGTGGTGTGCCGCAAGATTTTTTCGATGAAAAAAGTGTGCCTTGGCTCAAAAAAGGTTGAAAAACACTGCTTTAGGCTGTGCATGTGACCGCAGCCTTACAGAAGCGAGGCAACCAGTCTGTGCCAACAGCCCGTCCAACCACCACCAACCATTCACGCACACACCAAAATCATTCTAGGCAATGTGGGGGAGGTGTCTTGCCAAAGGACACAACAATAGTTTGACACATTACAGCCGCCCCACTGTGGCACCTGGTGCTCCCAAAAGTCTCCCATCACAGAACTAACCAGGCCCTTCCCTGCACAGCTTGGCCACACATTTCATGTGGAATTAACAGTGTTTCCCATAGATTGCCGGAAACAATTAAATTAAATTTAGTTTTGTAGCAGTCATCTTGGAGGACTTTACAAAAGTTGCCAATATGCCAACAGATCAGAAAATCAGACAATTCAAATATATAGAAAATGTAATAATATACCCAGTGGCTCCTATGTGTTAAGGATGAACTATGTCCATAAAGTTAATAATGACCCCTCCTGCAGAGGCAACGAACAACTCAAAATAAAGAAATTGATTTAGTGTTGTCTGAAACTAAATACCAATTTTGACTAATGATCATAATACATAATCTGTTTTTATTCTTTAAAGATTAAAATTGCTCAGAGAATTACACATTGTCCTTTCCTTTTTTTCAGTATCAATACTTTCTCAATCAAGTATCTAGCTTCGACCAGGATCGCTTATGTTATTTTTTACAAACAACATGTTTAAAAACACACTTTCACCGGTAAAATATATTTTATACCACACAAAACATAAAAATATGTAAGCCAAAAAAAATGACAGTTCCAAATATTGAGTTGTGAAGAGTCACAACTAAATACCGTTCACAAACAACCCAACAAAACACAAGTTGAAACTGGTCTTAAAAATTACGTTTTGGCAGCCATATACGCTGAAGCCAGCGTTATTTTAGCCTGGAGGATTTGAGGAAAACAGAATATGAAAATCCTTGATCTTGAAATCTCAAAATCAATTGTCTATGTCTATCCATGTTAAATATAAACATTTTAAAAATAGAACATTGACTCCTCCCAATCAAACAAATAGAATTCTGAGAAATTCCCTTAAAAATTTTGATCATATTTTTTGGAATAAAAGCCGCAGGCTCTAATTTTGAGAAAGAAATCGGATTTTGTGCCCGACCGGATTATAAAACGCACCAATTCCACATTGGATTGAAAAATGTCTCTCAAAAATGTGTATGATGTCTTAATATTATTAATAATGTGAGAAATAAAAGACAAAGTAAGAAGTGAGTCACTGACTGCCACCCACTCTTCCTGTTGTGACAAAGAAAAGAAAATGCTGGATGTTTGGTTTGGTGGAGACGCGAGGCGAGGGGAGGGGAGGGGTTTCGTGTTGGTGCAAAACACGAAACAAAATTGCTTACTGCATCTTTAAGCTGCACCTTACTGGTTTATAATCCGGAAATTAAGGACGTTTTTTGCCAAATTTATTAAGTATGTAATTTATACGATTTTTATCTTTACTCACTTTCAAAATGAGATAAAACTTGTTCCTATATCATGATTCAAAAACAGTTTGTTGAAAAGCTAATGCTACCAGACTACCTACTGACACTAAACATTGTGTTGCTATGGTAATCAACACACACTTCTCTCTGGTGGAAAACCAGACTGAACCAGACCAGTCCAAAACCAGTACAGGATCAGTCCAAGACCAGTATCTTGAATAAAGGGCTTTAAATGACAAAGAAAGCAACCAGAAATGGCTACATTTGAATTTTCACACCTCACATTTTAAACATTGACATAAATTAAATATATTAACAAAATAAACTTATTAACTTTGTGACTTTTTCACTCCCAAAACTAAAAGCACTGCTCTGGGAGCTCTGGTGTTAAAGCTTTGCCTATTATAACCTAATAGATTTTACACAAACATATGACATAATGATCCCTGTTGGGTGTTATGTTGTTGTGTTGTACCTTGGTCTCGGTGAGCTGTCGCTGCAGCAGCTGCAGGGCTTCGGAGTGGCCCTTCTCACTGTCCTGAAGAGACGCCAGCTGCTCCTTCATCTCCCTCTGCAACAACACCACAGGTCACTACAAACGTGCTGCTGTTCTATGTCCTCAAGTCAAACCAGCACAGGTCACTAAACACCAAGACAAAGAACAAGACACACAGAGGTGCAGAACTGGAGGTCAAGTTCAAATCAACATGGACTCTATGCGTTTATTTTTATATTTTTTATATTGTACAATGAATAGATAATAATTTTAATGAAAGACTACAACATCAACAACAAAAAACTCTTGACAGTAACAACTATTATTTTGATGAAGCTGAAGTGAAGCCGCTTGACGATCTCATAATGGATATTCCCCTAAAGTCCCCTAAAAACACCGGGGAACTTTGTATAATTATTATCAAATCTTGAATACAAAACAAACTGTGTTTTGTGGAAAGTCAATGATAAGCACTTTATTAGATCACTAAGAGTGGAGATCACACATGGTCTCTTTAAAGTACTTTTATTGAAAGAATCTTCCTCCCTGTGACACATGCGCCTAAGTACTGTTTACTGATGCAAACCACCTGCTGGGGTTTAGCCAGAAACTGAACAAATTGAACTGTTACGTATGACTTATTTGTACCTGGTTTCATTTGAATATGTGTGGTTCTAGTTTTTGAAAGATAATTTTGTCAAAAGGCAAAGACGAGGCTAATTTCATCGAACAAACTGGCAACCCTCATTCTGCTCTCTGATTGGATAATCTGCTTTAAAATTGTGTGGATCAGGTTTATTGTATGTTTAACTTCACATAAAACTCATCCATAGAAAACTGCTGTCCCTTTAAGCATCAGCATAGAGTCCTACATAAATAAGAAGCAGTCATTGTACATTTGGGGTTGGGCTGGTGTTTGAAAGCACCAACGCAGCGCTGTGATGAAACATGACACTGCACCGTCAGCATCACGTCAGACAGAACTCACGAAGAGCTTTTCTTATGACAGAACTGTTCGTACAACAAATCCACGGACAGACATTCTCAGCAAAAAAAGCAGAACAACTCATAACTTAAATCTATTTTCTGTTTTGAACTTCTTGCTATAAACGGTTTTCCACTTGTTTTTTACACGTGCAAAGTTGTTTTAGAAAGATCAATTTATGTGATTTATGTGATTTACGTAAATCCGATTGCTCTTGGGTTTCTCTGACTGCCACTACACGTACATTCCGTTTACTGAATCCATGATGATTCGGCAGCGTGAAAAAAAGGATTTTTTTCACTGCATTTTCACTGCATTTTTTACCCATTTTAAATGCTGTTTCAGTGTTTCCCACAGGTTTGAAGGCAATGTGTGGTGGTCGGCGGCGACCACCACACAATGACATCGTTAATTGGTCAAATACAGCTTTATTGGACTGATTCACACGCTGTATATTACACTATAAATACTGTTAACGCTGTATAAACCTACTTGTTGCAAAAAATAACATTATTCACACGCTGTATAAACACTATATTACACTATAAATACTGTTAACGCTGTATAAACCTACTTGTTGCAAAGTTTGCATGTTTTATCAGAGCACCTGATTTTAACTTTATAGCGTCATCGCTTGTTAAGGGAGTCGGGACGGAAATTCAACATTGACACTGAACATTCAGCACTTTTTAATGTGTGATTTACGAGATCACGGGATACCAACCTTTAGTGAACTTCACCAGCCGTCTTCTCTGCACCAAAATTAATAGACACAACTGCTTACAGCGATGATCGCTGATGGAGACGGAGACACGCGGTGTGCACGAAGGGGAGGGGCTGTGTGTGTGTAGGTCTCTGTATGTGGGAGAGACGCGTAGCTTGAGTGAGAGTTACGAAGGGCCGCCACATTTTAAACCCCCCTCCCCGCTGTCAAATTGACCGCTGCGGCGGCACTAGACGATGCATGTTTTAAATAGCGTAACAAAAAATATATATATATAATAATACGAAACGCAATTTGTGGCGGGCGGTCTCTAATCTGTGGCGCACCGCCACAGATTAGTCTATGTGTGGGAAACACTGTGTTTGGACCGTGGGAAAAGTTGGAATATTGTTCTGTGTCCTGTATGGTCCTGTATTTTCACCACAGGAAATAAAAAAAGTTCACAAACAAGTCTCCTAAAGTCACAGCTCAGTGTAGCCAGGACCAGAAGGAATCACATTCACATAATCAGTTTATCATTTCCTTTGAGAGATATACCCATTTTCAAACATTTTGCAAGGATAACTTGACAGTAAATGCTTCACTTTTTACACACAAAGTATAGCCCTACATCACAACAGCGGTTGTCTTGGAAGACTTTACAAAGTTGTTGATTTGCCAGATGAAAGAATCGCAATGGGCTTTAAAACAATTTGGTTTTACTGCTGTATAAATGACTGCTATATTTAGACACAGTGGTCACACAGAGCACTAGGTCATAGGGCGGGTTAAATACAGAGTCGTTTTGACACACCAGCCCGTGTTGCTCTGCATGTAAAAAAGAAGCAACCCAAAAGCACAGCCTTCTATATTTTGTGTTAGCCAGAGTTTGCATTTGTTTAGACTATATTCACTTTTGCCTCAGTTGCATACATTCTCAGAGCGTAGAAGTTACACTCACACATTATTCAAAACCAAATTGACCCGTCTAAACGTCTTCAAATGATCTGTGTTTAGTGTTGACAGCAGCGAAGCACACTGAATAAATAAGCCTGTCAAACTTTCTGCAGAAAAGTAAACTTGTGTCTTCTGTCGGTGAGTGGGCGTGAGACCCCTGCAGCACCGAGGTCTGGGTCCAGCATTAACATGTGGAGTCACGCGCGCCGCTGCACCACACATTGTTCCTCCCTCTACCTCTGACAAGAAACTGCAGCATCCACACGCACCTGCCAGAATGGACTTATCACAGCTTTTGAAGTTGTTTTATGAGTGATTCATGCGCGTTTGAGCAATTTATAAATTCCCACATTGTTCACAAAAGGGCAGTGTGCAAAACAATACAGCAGGACTAAATACGAAAGTGCCACAGTGGCTGAGTGGGAGTATGCCTCACAGCAAGAAGACCCCAGGGGTGATCCAGTGCTTGCAGGGACCTTCCTATTTGGGGTTTGTAGTATGTTTCTCCCATCACCCAATATTCTCCACAAGCAAGGATCAAATGCAGAGAATTTCTCTGGGGACAAAATAGTATACTATGGCTGGTTGATCTTTTATTAATTGAAAACAATGCAATAAATGACAGCAATCCCTTCTTTGGATAAGCAAGGCACAGGGTCACATAACATGACACTGAGGTCGGAATTTGGACGTAGTAGCACAAAAGATAATTGCAATTTCTGAAATCAAATTGCGGTGTTGATTCATCGTCCTGCTTACAGTTGTTACGGACTATAGTGAAGTGTCGAAGCCGGGCTCTGCCTGACAGAGCTCTTATCGCCTCTCTCTCACATTTCCTTTTCTGTGCCAAACTGTCTCTTTTAAATGCTGTGTCCCATGTGCTCCGCTGTGGAAAGCATCAGACTGACAGAGAAAGCCGCAGGACTTATGCGACTCAAGTCTTCCACTGACCTTGCTCGGACAATGTCCTGGTTTAAAGGCTTTCTTATCCCTTTTTGTTGGTACAGACATGGTTCACACTTAAAAACATAATGGCATGTGGCTATGTAAAGATAAGGTTCATCAATAATAGTGATAATTTCTAACTTTTTGTGTCCATGTCCTTGGATTTGTTTTGGATTGGATCTGTCAATATAGTTATTGATATATAACTATATACTCATGCTGGTCAAAGTGTTCTGTTGAAGCATAATCTCACTAATACTAGAACAGGTCGACCCAAATTTTGACTTTCACTACCGTTTCCCATCATATACATCCTGCCTACAGACCTGTCACACAAATGCCAAATCCAAAGAATAAATATTTACTATCAAGATGATTGGTTTCAGCTTTTATTCAACTGGATCAATAAAGTGTTTATATTATTTGGTTCTCTTCTAAACCAGACAAATGTAAGAGCTATGTTATTACCTTATCTCAATGAGAAAAAACTAGAAAAAGAAATAAACGTTATCTACTGAGACAGGGGTGTCAAACTGCTCCTCAAAACAACGATATCCTCAAATCTTGTGGTGGAGTCTGGTGTGCTCCTGCTTGGTTGGAATGAAAGCCTTACCAACAAAGTCTCTGTGTTTTAGACTTTCTTCATGTCCCAAGATATCATGATCGCTTGTGGCTGAATCAGAGGTAACTTTTTTGAGGCGTTTATTAATTTTAAGCACAATGACTGCCAATGGGCTGCTCAAATATGTCATTCATAAATCTGTAATACACTCCAGAGGCAAGAAATGGGCCAGCACGGTGGCTGTAGTGGATAGTATGCTCTCGTTTCTCAGTAAGAAGGTCTTCAGGTCTGGGGAATGGGTTCCTACAGCGACCAATGCTGCTCCTGACCTAAGCTTAGTGGCATCAAGGATGGGTTAAATGTAGAGGGAAAAATTGCACTACAGGAATTCCATCCATCCATTTATTTTCTTTCCCTTAATCCAATGTTGGGTTTAGGGCGTGATAATCAGAGCTGCCACCTAATTCACAGAGCACCAGCCCCTCACTGATCCTCCTGCAGGTGTCCACAGGAGGATGGTGCTCTAGTCTGAGCTGCCTAGGTCATTCCAGCGGGGGCTTCATGCAAAGTGGGGTTAAGTATATTGCCCAAGGACACAATGACAGCAGACATCAGTGGGGAGTTGTGAAATAGATCTTGTGTTTTTTTTATTTTTTTTTTTTAGGGCTCAAACCCACTAACCTCAAGCCCAAAGGCAAATGCTTAACCAACTGAGCCACTGTCGCTCCTCCTGAGGGGATTTACTCAAAGAGATATTTTTTAACTAAAACAAAATATACTTTGTTTTAAACAGACACACCACTTACAACGTTTTATAAAGAATAATGCTCATCCATGCTCCTTCAACACACACACATAAGTGATGGACTGAAGCGTTCGTTGCCAAAGGGCAAAATCATTTCCTTTATAAAGAGAAA